GCTGAAAAGATCCTTTGGACTGGTTCCATCCCTCTTTTACGAGGAAACAGAAGCTTTGGATGCAAATGTGAAGAGGAGGGCATCTATTTGGGTTTAGCCTCCAGGAAGACTATTTGGTTTGGCTGGCTGGCCATCTTGTATGGCAGAAACAGTCTTGTTAACACTCGCCTGGATTTATGTAATGGAAACACTTCACGTAAGAAAAATCCTCTCCCATCCATGGAGCAGGATCCACTGAAGGTATCAAGTTGCATCTGAGGATGCCTCCAACTGTCTTGCTGTAGGAAGCCAGCACCTAAATGAAGTGTGTAGTTAGCTGGGATCAGCTCAGGTTTTCCAGCCTTGCTTCCTAACTGTGGAAGGAGGAGATGATGTAACCAGTCTGTCTTACAGGCTTGTCCAGGGTCCACACCAAAGGCTCCCTCTTCCCTGAGGTGCCAGGAGGTGGTGACCTGTATGTCACTGGTGTTAGCCAGAGTTAGGTGAGGTAGACTTGGATGATGACCATGCTGAGGTGGATCAGTGGTCCTTGGATGACGTCAAACCTGCTGAGGTAAGGAGCAGCCAGCTGAGCTCCTTGGTGAAGAGGAAATAAGCTGCTGGCTGTTTATAGCTGAAGTCATCCTTGCTGCCCTGTGGGCCTTGCTCCTGTTTCACTTCATCTTTGTCCTGAGTTAGTTTGGTACTGAGCAGCCTCCTGTCCTCGAGAGACCAAGTGACAGTAACAAGTAACTGCGAGGCCCCCTCTGATCTTCCTGTCAGGGAATGGAAATTGTCCTGTCTAAGTCTGGGCTCCAGGGTGGATTCCTGTACAGAAACATCTCATCCCATAGTCTGAAAACAAAGCTCGAATGAAAGTGGAGAAGGAAGAGGTTGCAAAATGGTAGTAATTCAGAGCTGCTTAAGGTGACAGCAGATGGCCAAATCTGGCCTCTGTGGAGGCCCGTGGGTCTCTTTCCATACCCTTACACTCTGTCCTGGATGTGTAAGAAGTGCTGCTGTCCCTCTCACTGCGGAGGAAGTTCACAGCATCTTCTGTAGGTGAGGTAGAAAGAACCAGAGTGAGAAATGAGAACACTAGAAGCTCCATGATGGATTGGAGGCACCTCTGACAAGGTGGGATGTGGTGGGTAGAAAGTGGTGCAGGTCTGTCCCACTTGGTAGCGTGGGCTTGCGGTACCACGTGCACGTGCCCTGCAGACTTAGCCGGTGAAGCTGGCCTAACAGGGGCAGACCTCTGGTGCTGGAGAATTGGGGTTCCTCAGGTGGGATCTTGCAGTTGCTCAGTAAAAATTGTTCTCTAGCGAAGGGAGAAAAGGCTTTCCTTTTCCAAAAGCTGTTAAAACTCAGGAGTAATTTGATGTCTTTCTTGCTCACTGAAAGTGAAGGGAAGAAATTTTGGGTAAGGAGCTGTGAACCTTGGAGACATGGGCAAGGTGGTCTCTTCTGGGTGTAACAGCCTGGTTAGCCAAAACCTCTCTATAAAGATGATTTATTGAAGGCTAGGGCTGTCAGGTGCACAGGATACAAAACAAAGAACCATGGCTGGTTGTGGTGATAGGAGGTCACTTACCATTCATCCCCAAAGGAATGTGAGGGCAGCAGGTATTTGGGAGAGACCTGAAAATTGCTGTTGCTTCTTGGGCAGGCTGAGGCAGTGGGGGGGAAGCATCCAGCGAGTGCCATCGTGACTGCAGCACAGAAGAACCGACTCGCACAGGGTGCTGTGGCTGTTAGCCACGTCCCCTCCCCTGCAGGGACAGAGCATTAGAGCAAAAGGGAAAGAGTTCAAATGCAGGAAGGAAATTATGGATTTGTTTGTTTTCCTGTTTTGTTTGTAATTGGAACTCTGATGGGTGATGGTTAACCTGGGGTTTGTAGGAGAATTGGTCAGTCTTTGGGTATGGGGCAAAAAAACTCCACTGAACTTAACCTGTACTAGACACCCAAGTCTAGTGGGAGAGGCTGTCCATGCTACAGGAGGATCAAAGCCTCTCTGACACCGGCTTTTAATTGCCAGCTGCTTATAACACTGCTCCCATCTCCTCCGCAGACCACCCAGTAAGCTGCTGCCTGCCAGGGAGCAGACGTGCGCTTTCCAAAATCCTCTGCGGGCTGTGCTGGTTGCACTCGCACATAACAACCTTCCTGGATCCCTCTTCCTTCCCGCCCCTCCCTGCGGTTGCCTGCTGGTCTGGCACTCTCTCTGCTTGCTGTCCTCGCAGCTCAGCAGCCTCTCTCTGCTCACGGCCTCCCAGTTCTTCTCTCCCCTCCTTTGCTTCCTCCTTGATCGTGGCTTGAGCAGCTGGAAAGCTGGGATGCAAGGTGATCGCTCCGAGGTCTCAGGCATGGAGACGCTAGCTGGATGCCTCTACTTCTTAGCTGCAGCTTTGCAATGAGGCAGATGTTTTGGTACGTCGCTAGCAAGTGACAGAATAAGGACAGCTACACATGCAAACCCGTTTTGCTCTTGCTGGGGAGCAGATCCCCTTGGAGCTGAGCTTGGTTGGACACCAGCTCTTACTAAATCCCAGTGTGCGCCGCTGATCTCTCTGGCTGGAGGTTCGCAGAGTGGTTTGGATAAATGTGCTTTTGCGAACTGCTGGTGTTGCCTTCCCCTGATACGTCTCAACAGTACTGCGCAGAGAAAAGCAGGGCAGAGCTCCCACTCTGCTGCCATCCGACAGCATCGGCATCTCACAGTGGGTTGGGTTATCTTACACAGATGCAATGCCAAATTCCGGCCCTATTATGCTGGAAACAAGTGTTGCCAGGGGTTATCTTTATATTCAAGTGGTGAGAGGAAATGCTGCGGCTTTCTTAAGCCGGATAGCGTAGCTCAGTTTTGCAGACCTGAGGTCTTCTGATGAGCCAGGGAAGATGATAACCAGCTGGCAGGGTGCTCGTGAAGAGCTGAAGCAAGCAAGTGTAATAGATATAGCACCATTATCGTTGTTAACAGTACAAATGTACTTATTACTTGGTAAGTACCCCATTGGAAACATTCATATTTAATTAGAATTGATTCTTTTTGAGTGAATCACTCTAAAACCTGGGGTGATAGAGCCCCTGTCTCTCACTCAGACAGTGAGTATCACGTAACCAGCCATTCACTCACTTCATCAGCAAAATATTAATCCTGATCAGGACTGAAAATTTATGCTGGTTGTGTTGAAAATTATGACCAGAAATCTGCAGACTGTTGCTGGTAACTGGGTGGGTCAGGTTTGGCAGGGAGCAAGTTGCAGGTGATGTCTTTAATGATTGATTTTTATTGTTTTTTTATGGAGAAGTGGGCAGAAGACTGACTGGTCCTTGTACAGAGGAGGGTCAGTCCAGCAGTATCTTTTCTTGGGAATTGCTATTGGGATTAGCTTTAATTCAGAAGGGGTTTCAAGACTGTTATTCTGGTCAAAATGCTCCAGGACTTTGAGACTCCTGTCTACTGGAAGAGTGGGAGAAAAGTTGGAAGGTGTCCCTGCTCATGGCAGGTGGGTTGGAACTAGATGATCTTTAAGGTCCCTTCCAATCCAAACCATTCTATGAGTCTATAAGTTGGGGGGAGTGACCCATCTCTACAGAATTTTCTAGGTTTGCTGAGGTGAAATGAAATATCTGGTACCTTAACAAAGGGGTACCAGAGAAGGGGCAAACCAAATGACTGTCCTAAAGCAACACATGCTTGTAAGGAACTGTCTGAGTAAGATGCTGAGATTTCTGAGTTTCCAAGCTTTCCTTATCCAAAGGATTTTAGTGGTCTGTCCTTTGAGAAGATGGGATACTTGCCCTCTTGCACAAAGAGGACTTCCTCCCCTCAAATGCCTGTATCCATCCAGCTCAAAGTAGCTCAACACCATGGGGAGGATGCTGGCAATGTCCATTGGTGGCTGAAGGAGTGGGAAAATGTGTATCCCAGAGGCTGTGTATCCTTTCCCCAGAGTGAAGGAGAGCGTATTTTTTCATAAAACTTGATCCAGCCTTCTTACGGTTACCAGGAATGGCTTTTCCATTAAGCACTTGATACTGCTGACCCCTGAGAGCCCAGGAGTGTCTGAGTGCTGAGGTTGCTGGATAAACATAGAGAATTTCAGGTCTTCAGGCAGAGCCAGAACTGTATCCCTCCCCTTTAACAGAAGCCGCCTGATGGCCTTGTAGGACTTTTGCTCCAGCAAAGCTGTTGATGTAGGAAGGACAGGCAGTGGGGGAGGAGATGCAAGTCAAGAAGGTGGTGGATTTCAGAGGCAGGTTTGTGGAATGGTGAGTAGGACAGAGGTAGATGAAGCAATGTTAGCATCTGCTGGGTAGGTAGAGCTTTTTGGTGTCTGCAGTTGTTACTTCCTTGCCCTTCAGACTAACTAGAGGTCTGGTTAATTGCCTTCTCCATTTTAGAATCAACCCTAAAAGGAGTAGAAAGAGACAAAGAGAGAATTAGCTTCTAGACCTAAAGGCTGGCGGTGGTAGTGGTGTAGGTCATGTCTTGTGAGGGAGAGCTTTCTGTCTTATAGCCAGGTTTAATTCAAAAGCACAACTGCAGTACAAAAGACAAGTATCTGCCCTGATAAATGGAGTCCGCACAAATGGAAGCAGGGTGCATTTTTGCTTTTCTGCACTTATTTCTGCATGTGAGCTTGCAGAGATGCACAATGAGCTGCAACTAGTAAGGGATGCAAGTCTGCTGACTTTTCTCTAATACAAGTCAGATTTACTTTTTTTAACTAGAAAGATTTGAGCTTAGATCTTGGTATGTTTTGATCTTCAATGGAGTCATGACTTGTCGACCTAGCAGGGACCCAAACCTTTCTACCCCAGGCATGTCCTCCTACAACTGCGGATAGACTATCTCAACTAATTTTAAGATTGTTCCTGATTGCTGCAGAACTTGCAGAATAGAATCACTTCCCTGTATCTCTCATCAGCTCAGGTATCAAGCACGAGGCACCTTTTCTGCAAGGTTGTCTCCTCCTGTCCTCTGTCTCAGATCTAAAATGCTATTTTCCCAGGTGACCCTCCACAAGCTGCTGCCTGGATTGGCCAGTGCGTCCTCTACTTGCTGATCATGGTTTTTGAGAAGACTGTGATTATCCTTGTCCTGCTGATCCCTGGTTGGACAAAGGTAAGTTCCTGAGCTGTATTTTTTTCTAGGCACAGCTGTTGTGGCTTGTTTTCTGTCAGCTTTGCCTTATTAGTGGTCCATATCATCATAGATCTTTAATACTTACAACTTGTTGACATCTCTGTAATCATTAGCTGTTACTTAAGTTTGGGGAAACATTACTTTTGTAACAGTTTGGCTTTGGTACGTTCTCTTGCTAGTCAGAAGCTAGTGGAATGAGATGCTGCTTTAATTTTCTTTTCCATCCTTGGAAGGACAAAATGGGCTGGGCTGGCAGCTGAGATAGTGCAGTTCTGCCAGAGGATTTCTACATTATCTCATCAAGGCAGTTCATGTTGGTGTTTCCCGTGCCTAACTAGGGAGACTCTAAAGTGTTAATTCGGAAAGAACTATGCTGTCTTTCTCCCCCAGCTGCTTCTGTATGGTAGCTCATGCAATGGTAATTGTTTTGATCGTGAGTTTCTCATTTAAACAATAGAAAAAAATGACCCTGTGGCAGTTGTGGCCACATACCTGGGTATAAAGATCAATTCTGGGTCTCCACACAAATCCAAAATACAGCCTCATACTAGCTACTGTGAAGAAAATTAACTCTGTCCCAACTAAAACCAGCACAACGGGCAGTTCTAGTATTGAGTGCGTTTACATGTAGTGCCTAGTATCTCTCAGGCTGATGTGTGTTGTACACCAATTTGGGAGCACTTACCTCCTGTTCCTGTTAAGGGTTTGTCTGTCAACCCAGTAGCCTACAGCGCACACTGGGACATGCAGGTGTTCAGCGGCACGCACTGCTAGATCTGGAGATGCTGCTGTCCTCCTCTGTTTACTCATGAATAGCTGGTGTCCTTAATTTGCAGCTAGGCTCCAGGAGGCCAAGGAAATCCCTCCAGTTGTCTTGGGTAGTTAAACTGAAAGATTGGCAGTACTTAGTTCTTGATCTGTACGAAATCCTGTGTTTGGCAGCTGGACTAAGGGAATAGCCCATGTGATATTCCTAAGAGCTGGGCTAAAGCAAAGGCTGCAGAGCCCTAGGGTTAGGTAGGAGACTGCTGTAGTCAGAAGGCAACAAGTTTAAAGCAAAGATCTCGACAGAGCTGCTCAAATAATGCTCCTAAATGCTTTCTCCTTTGCAGCTTCAGCAGATCCTCCTGAGTTATATACCAAACCCCCAGGTGGAGCTCGTCCTGGTCATGCTTGTTGTGCCTTTTATAGGCAATGTAAGTGGTGCCTCTGGGAGCGTGGGGTGGGTGGGAAATCATGGTCCCCACTCAACAGGGAGCATGTATGGGAAGTGGCTTGGGGCAGCCTTGAGTAATGGAAGTGGCTGGGACAGTATGGAGGGGAGTGGAAACAAAGACATCTGTTGTCACAAATGCAGAAGTGTCACGGCTGCCCTGCCATGGTCTCTGCTCTCTTGTCCAGGCTGCCGGTTGGCTGGCTCTTTGAAGAAAGCTGGGGCTCGTTAACTGAGGGCTGCATCTGGCAGCAAACTACAGGCATGGGAATGCCTCAAAGCCCAAAGTGCTTATAGGATGGCTTGTCAGCGGTGACTTTTGGCAACCTGCCAATATAGCCATTTGGCTAGATTTCAGATGGTGTTACAGCAAGGCAAGGTGTTCAGGTTAACAAGAACTACTGATCTTCACAAAACTAATTTTGTAAGTCCTCTTGAAAGCACATCTTTTTCCTAGTTCTCCTGATTCTGGGTTGTCCTTGATCTGCTGCTTAGTTCCTGCCAAGATGGGGAATTAGAATAAGGAGTTAATGTTAACATCCCCCTGGGACAAGAGTGATTCAAACTCTTTTCATTTTATACCATGAGCATGGTAATGAATGCAGCACTGGAAAAATTAGGTTTACCTGCTCATGCTACCAGCCTGACTCCCTGCCCCAGGCTGCATGTAATTTATTTGAAGGGGAGCACTGGTTCTGAACTGAGCAGTGACTGATTCAGATGGAGCAGGTGAACCTGGGATGGAGCTTGATTCACTGGTTATTTCCAGGTGGAAAATTAGCCTATTGTGGTGTCTTTTGTTTTCTTTTTTTCCTGCTGGGTCTTCAACAACTATGAATAAATAGGCTTTATGTGAGGAAGGATCTCAGGGAATTTGACACATCCAACCCCCATGGGCACACTTGATGCAGGTTTAATTTAGATATTAAATTAGGTTGATCAAGGTTGGGCATCTGCAGAAACCAAAAGGAGAAGAAATAGCTGTGATTGCAGAGACCAAAATACGAAGTAATTTAATCAAACCTGGTATCTATATATCGGGAAGAAATTCTTCCCAAAGACAGCAGTGAGGCACTGGGACAGGTTGCCCAGTGAAGCTGTGGATGCCCCATCCCTGGCAGGCTTCCAGGCCAGGCTGGATGAGGCTTGGAGCAACCTGGTCTAGCGGAAGGTGTCCCTGTCCCTTTCCACCCAAACCATTCTGTGATGATTCGAACTTCTGTTTCCCCAAGGCCATTATGTTCTGGGTTGTGGACTGCTTGATCATGAGGAAATATAAACAGAAGGACCCCCTGGACATGAATGGATCCATAAAAACTCCTTGGGCTAGGAAGACTGAGGAATCTCAGGTAAGACCAAGGACGTCCTGTGTTTGAAACGAAACTGCAAGCTTGTGGCATGCTGTGTGGTTCACCACTATCATATGATGTAGCATTACATTGCCTAGACCTAGAGTGACGGTTCATGCACACGATTGATGACCCTGCTAAGTCAAACTGACTTTCCGTGCTTCTAGCTGAGGTCAAGAGGGATGTTTTCTGGGACGATCTGGCCCTGTCTAATAAAGAGCAATATTACAGCGTACAAAATGTTGCTGAAATACTGCCGTAAATTACAACGCTGTCTTGTGAGGGATGAGCTAACTTTTACACTAACCTGTGTGGGCTTGTTGGAGTGGTGGGCTGAAGCTGGTGGGTGCCTCTGCATTGTCTCTTTCAACTTTTCTATTTTTAACTCAGAGCTTGCTTTCATTACTGTAATTGGGAACATCCTTTTAGAGGACAAGACCTAGCTGGTCATCCTGTTTTTGTCAGCATTTGGTACTTTTTCAGCCAGATGATGGTCCCTTAGCTGTAGGAAGATGTATTTTGTTTAGTCTGAGCTTGACACAAGGTATGGGGGGAGAAAGTGCTCCAGTCATTAGTTCTTACTAATGACACAGTGTGCTTCTCATCAGCTTTGGGGAAGAGACCACAATCTGAGTTGCTGAGTTGAAATCCCTTCTTTCCCCTGGCACCCAGACCGTTTCAAAGTGCTGTGTGTACAACTGCTGATATTCTGCTCTTCACTGGTGAGACTCGCTGAGATAAGACAGCTTCTGGTAGTCATGGGCTGGCTCCTGGAGCAGCTTCTGCTGAGGGATTTAGCATGGACAGAAATAGCTCTTGTTTTCAGAGAGCTCTTTTATAAAAGGGTAACTCTGCTCTCTTGCTGCTGGATGGGATGCTCAACTACTGGTGACACTGCAACGCGTACGGCGGTGATGGTGTGTTCGCAGTCCGCACAGCAGCGATGGCTTCCGTGGCTCGAGGGCACAGTGGGGAAGCGGCTGCTGCTCGTGGGGATGTGGTGTTGGAGGCATCCACCTTCTGGAAGCAAGGGCAGGCAGATGTGAGCAGCTGTTGAGACAAGTGACTCACTCCTCCTGGCCCTGCCGCCAGATCACCAGTTGGAGCTTGTCAAGGTCACTAGGAACATGCAAACTGTTGCCCCAGGGAGTTTCCTGAATGGTGTGTGTGGTGAGGGCATCCTCCAGAAATCTTTATTGCTTTGGAGAGAGAAGGGAAGGGAGACCTGAGCTGGGCAGTACTGGTATGTCCTGATGGCTATGCACTGAAGCTGAGTGCTCGTATCTAGGATGTGAAGGTGGAGTAACTCTGGTCATGAACTTGTCTCTGGTTATGGCACAGTTCGGGTTTCTTGGTGGTGGCTGATGTTGAAGAGTGGTACTTCCTTAGAAGAGCTAGGTTGGAGGTCTGCTCAAAAGCTGGTGGTAAAGATCTGCTTTACTGACTGGATGTGCTGGTGTGTTCCTGAAGGTTTAAGGTAATTAAAATTTACACCAGCTCAGAAGCAGGGATAAGGAGGTGACACCTCTAGTTGGGACACCAGCCTCCTTTCCAGCTTTTTGAACTTAAACTTGTAGCATCCAGTCCCATAGATGGTGGCTGCTTTGGATACACAGATGGTGTTGCAGTTATGTTCCTCCGTGGAAATGGAGCTGACCCTCTCTCTCCTCTCCCCCTCTCTACTGAAGTCGGGGGGAGGTGTTTTGTGACCTCTAGTTCAGTTTTGGATAATCTGAAGGGAAAATACCTGTTATCTCCAGAAGCTAGGAAGGACTTTTCTGGTAGCTCAATCTGGACAGGTTGTTTCAAGTGACAGAAACAGCTCCCACAGTCCGACTCTTGCTGTCAGAGGCTTCTCCCATCTTCCAAGGACTTAACTCCTTTTCACAGACAAATTTTTGCAGACATCTTTAACGTGCAGATCATCTCTCCATCCCAAAACCCTCTGATCCATCATGGCAATGGAACTGCCAAGGGGACTGGTTTGTACCAGTTGTACTGGGACTGCCTCCTTTCTGCTCAGACATTCCTGTGCCTCTGGCCACCCAAATAGTTTGGGCAGAGAAGGAAGATCATGAAGAAATACAGAAAAGGGTGACCTGCTTTTCCATTTCTGCTTCTTGGTGCTGTGCCACAAGGTATAGTCATGGGCTCCTGCTTCATGTGTCAACTTTTCAGACTATAAATTAAAGATCATGTTGGCTGACTGGGCTCTACAGCTGTACTGGTTGGAATTTAGGCTCAAAACTAGAAAATTAGGGTTTGTTGGGCTTGTTGGTGCTAATAACCTGTTCAAGTGGGGGAATTTCTTCCCTTCTTGTGGCCCAGTGGAGGTGGAAGGAAGGGGGGCTGAGAAGCATCTGTACAGGGCAGAGCTGGCTGAGGCTGATGTCTCCCGTGGTTTATCAGGGTTCATCAGGGCTGTCTAGCAGCAGGCGCCAACAGCTCCCCATCATGCTGCCTTCTTGAATTTCAACCCTCTGCCTATCTTGCCAGTACAGAGTGTCATTATTTTCACTTGAACTAGCAGTTTGTGTTTGGAAAAGGAGGGGGGAGAGAGGAAGGAGAATGGAAAGAGGAGGCTGAAGTTAACCTGTTAAAAACCCACGCTCAGTATTTTCTGTAAGGATAGCAGGAAAACTCAGCTTTGTCCTTGGCTTGGTAGACCAGCTGGGTAGCAAGAAGAAACCTGGCAACCAGGAATCCTGCCTCTGGTATCTCTTACTGTCATGTGGTTGCAGTGTCGACCAAAGAACTGGCAGCTTCTTGTGGGTTTTAAGGCTCTTCTGGTGAGATGCAGATGTGACGAGGGGCTCTTGCTTGTAATAGAGCAACTGCTGAGCTTCCTTTACACTGAAACCCTGAAAGGGGCAAACTCATTCATGGCTGGAAGAATTTCACCATTCCTCACAAGTCAGTCTTAAACCTTTCTGTTGCTTCAGACTTGTGCCTTGCCTTGGTAAATCTTGATGCAGTCTTGTGGGGGCTTTTTGCCTTCTCCCTCCTGAGAGGGAAAGACATCTCTCGAGTGCCACTCTGAACCCACTGGGGAAATGCATTCGCTGCATGGCCCTTATTTCTGCTTTGCATGTGTCCTGCCCTTGACCTCAGTCTCTTTTCCTTTGCCCTTGCAAGTGCCAATAAACTTCAGATCTTATCAGTGGTTTCTTTGTTTCCTCCACTCAGGAAAACAAGTCAGTTTTAATAATGTTTTATTTGATCTTTTTTTAACTTGTTTTGTGTTGGTTGGATTTTTTTTCCCAGGGGATGTGAGTGAATTTCTGTTCCTTATCTGAAGACTTACATTTTCAGAGACCTTAAATCAAAATTTGGTCTAATAACAGTAGTACTTGTGAGAAACATTAGGAGTGCAACTAGAGGTTAATTTAAGGTTGGGAGGAAAGCTGATACGCTACATGGGGACCTGCCTTTGGTCAGTGTGGGGTTAACACCTATGCCAACTCCTTACGTGGGAGCTGTGACTTCTGGCAAATCCCTAGACTGAAGATGCTGATGAATGCCAATACCGATGCTGCTTGCTTTTAAGTAGGGAAGAATACTCCAAGAGTGAGTTTGATTTGCTGGTTGATTAGCTGAGCTGACTTTAAAATATCTTAAGGTGAACTGAGGTGCCTGGTCATTATGGGAATGCTAAATGAAGGGGGGAGGGAGAAGGGGGGATGTCTCTGGAAGGGGACTCCAGAGTTTCTCTAAGCTCAGGTGCAGGAGGGTGGTGGGATGATTCCTACCTTTACGCCAGGATGGTGGAGCTTTAGACAAACAGTTTGCCATGGCTAGCAGGGAAGTGTCCTCAGAGCTGCTTTGTGCTACAACCTGTGTCCTGGTTCTGTCGGTGCAATATCTCTCTGCTGCTACGATGGCTTGGTTATCTAAAGGGTCTGCTTGGGTGGGATACCCAGCCAGTAGGCAGGAGGGTTCTGTTCTTCCCCCAGGCAGGAGGGGTTGGCCGAGCACGTGGGCAGCCCCGGTTTGGTAGCGTGACACGTTGTTTTGTAAGCTGCTGGCCTCCTGGTGCGGGGAGGAATGCATGAAGTATGCGAGGACTGCTGAGTGAGACAGTAGCACATTGTCCCGGGACTGGGAAACCGTGACCTGATCCCAGCTGTGCCACCAACCCGCTGTGATCCTGACCTGGACACATCTGCAAGGGAAGCACCTTGTCCAAGTTGCACTGAAAACTCCCAAACTGGAGATTGGCTTGAAAACTGTATGTGAGGGTACGTCCCACGACTGTCACAGCGATGAGGTGCCGTCTCATGGTGAATCTCCCCAGGGAATTGTGGAAAGATTCCTGGGGGACTGTTGGCTTGAGCAGCTTTGTATGAGCTGGACAGTGGGCAGGTGACAGCCTGAATGGGTCTGGATGCACAGTGCTTCGTGCCTGCTCCATCATGCACGCTTGGCTGCCGTGGGGTTTGAGTTTGCAGCTGAAACCCACCAAAATCACCAGTTCATTAGGCCCCAAAACTAGCCTGTTGCAGCCTGTCAGAGTTCAGTGAGTTTATAATGCTGTGTGTGACTAATTACCCATTCAGCAGCTTCACAATATTAATATGATAAACAGAGGAAATCTTCACTTGGAAGAAATGGAAACTTTCCAGTGCATGTCTTGAACCAAAATACAATTCCTCAAGACCAATGGGGGGGTCAGGAAGGGAGCTTAATCTGATCTAGTGCTGTCCTTAGTGTCTGACGTGCTGCTGTGAAGATAACAACATCAGATGGAGGGGTTGGGGTGCGTGTGAAGGTGGGGAGGAAATCTTCCCCTGCGGCCCTTCTGCTCCCTTGAAGTCGTTGGCTCACTGGAGTTTGTTTTTCCTGTTTAGTCGTTTTGTTGCTATGGTGACTGGCCCTGTGGTGCTGCCTAACTAGTGAAGGGCATGTCAATTCACAACTGTGCCTGGAAATAGTCATGGATAAGACTAATTCTCCTAGCCTCCTGGTTTTGCCCAAGCTCCAGGACTGGCCAAGCTGCTGGGGACACTCTGTGGGTTAAACTGAAAGCCCGTCTGCCATCCCTTGGCTTGTGCCTTTCGCCTGGAAGGCTGCTGTGAGGCACAGGGAGGTTTCAGAGGGCACTGGTTCAGTTTTTGGAGCACAGTGGGGTCAGGTAGGTCTGAGGCTCTGGCGGGAGGTCTGCACTGTCCCAGTGGAGGAAGCTGTGTTTGTGGGGATGGTTGTGGTACCTGCCCCTTGTCATCAGCAATGAGCTAATGGTGCCATGTGGCTTCTGTGATGGGAAAGGTCTGCTGGCATCTAGGGAAATAAAACTGGAGGCTCTTGACGGGGCTGTTAGGCTTGTGTCCCTCTGAAGAGTTGGGGGCTGAGCTGCCAAGGACCTGGCCAGGCTACTGATGTGGGTGGCTGGTGTTTACCAGAAATCCCATGATTTGGCAGACCTGGAGCACTGCTGGGCATGACACAAGCTGTGGCGCAAGGGTTGACTGCACTTCAGCTGCGCTTAGAGGTAGCTACTGTCAGGGGTAATGACAGTAGGGCTTCTATTGCCCAAAGCTGGGTGTTTGAGATGGTAAGAAGGAGGTAGGATGGGGTTGAGCAAACAATCTGTCAGGCCACGAATATTCCCCCTGCAAAGTGCTCGCCCATTCAACCTGCTGGCTGGCATTGGGTTTCAGCTCTTCTGCAGTCAGTGCAGCCATAGCCCAAGTAAAATCCAGCCTTTTTCCTCTTCCAGATGGTGTGGCTGGAGGATGCCCCATGCGTGGCTCCATCTGCGTCATGCAAATGCTCCAGGCCGGTGGCAGCCAGTTAGCTCAAACCAGCCTGTTGGTCTGAAGTTAGCTACTGGGAGCGTAGTTGTTCTGGGGGCAATGGGCAGCCTTTGGATCACGCAGCAAACCTGTGGGATTCCTTACCCAGAGAGGTACCAGTGAGAGGTGTCAGGGCTCTATTTCAGCTCACACAGTTCAGGCTGAGCCAGGAAGAAATAAGATGCTACCAGGCCAGGACCCCGCTCTGAGCCTTCTGGCCATGGCTGAAGTCGCTGTCCTTGTTCTCCTGGCTGAGCTCTGGAGAGAGCAAGCAGCTGGTGACCGGGGAAAAGGTCTGCATTTGGTACAGCTGTTTACAAAAATGTGTGGCCTAGTTTTTGTACATCTCCCCTGAGGCTGCAGCCTGGCCTGAACATGCATATCTCAGTCCTGTCCCATGGTGAACACAGCTTTTAGCTGCCTGTTCTGCTTTCAAGGTGGATGGTTGGGACACCAGATCATTTTGGTGTCTGTGCCCAAATCTGTCTGGTTGTTGTTGGAGAGATGGTCAAGATGACCTTGATCTTACCCCTCTGCCAGAGAGGATTAGACAGCTCTAGGAGTGCCTGACCCCTTTAGCATACAGTATCAAGAAGAGCAGAGAACTTACTCCATCTGTTCTCCTTTCTAGGTGTTACTCTCTCCAGAGATGGATTTTGATCAGTCTGAAAGCGACCAGGATATTTCAGGACTCCAGGGAAGGAACCAGAAGATGAAGCAGCCCAGTTATCAAGTGGTCATCTGACAACACTGAAACAAGGGAGGTGGCGGGAAGGGAAGAAGCACTGTGATCATTGGGCTGGCTGAGGAAGAGCAGGGTGGGGAATGCTAGTTGATCGCTAAGGATTTGCAGAGATCCTTTTGCCTGCCTCATATCGACTGATCCTTCTCCAGTTGTTTCTTTGGGGTGGTATCTGTGCACCCTGTACAGCCTTGAGCAGTATCTGCTTTGCCTGTCTGACCCTAATCTGTACACACGCAGGCACGTTGAGGTTAGGGGTATGGATATGTGCTTCCCCTGGCTGGCCAGCTGGATGTAACTTTCTGTCAGGGCTAGAGATTGAAATCAAAAGATTGTCTGCCTTTTTTTTTTATATATAAAAAGAAAAAAAAAAACTGTACCGTCTGAACTGTGACACTTCTATATGCACCATAGTCAAAAGAATTGTTTTGCAATATATGTATTTAAATGCCTTGAACTGGGAAGATTCTCAGTGGATCTGATGCTTTTTACTGTTTTATAAGGAATGCAATAAATATTTGACATAAAACTGCCTTCATGTGCTTTTATGTTTTGCAAAAACCCTAACGCTGTGCAGGGGAGGAAGGGGATCTGTTGAAATCTTCCCTGACCAGTCCCTCAGAGGGCAGATTGTCTTTCTGCAGCAGGGCTGTCCTAGTGAACTACGGAAGAGGAGCTGAGCCTCAGTGCTCAGTCTGTACAGCTGGGTTGTGTGAGCCACTTCAGTGCAACCATGTGATCCTGCAGCATCGGTGTGTGCTAGACTCCAGCCTGGATGGATCGGGAGACTGAACTCAGCTGCCACCTTACAAGTGAGTGTTTACCCTAGGAACTAGAAGTTGGCTATTTTTCTTTTGCCTAGTTTAAAATATAAACATGAAATCCCTGCGTGACCTGATCCAAAAACTAGATCTGAAGAAGTTCAAGTCCCATTAACCAGCCCTGACCTTTGGGGGGTAAGGGAATGTCCTTGGATAAGGGCTCCTGCAGGAGGAGAACCCTGGGTCATCACAGATCTGGCACTGTTTGGTCCCAGCATGTAGTGCAGGGCCCTCGCTCTCTTGTTAACATGTTGTGTTCATCTATAAACACACAAAAATGCAAACCACTTTGCAGCTCTCTGGGGAGAGGTGGAGCACAGAGCAGCTGTGTAACGCGCTCCTGTGCTGGGTGCAGGTACGCATCTGTGATGGGACCCATGCAGAGAGCAAACGGTCCGTGGAGCAGGGCCTGATCCAGGATCCATCGAAGTGGTAGACTTGGTTGAGCCACAGGCAAGTTTTGCGTATTGCAAGACAGTCCTCAGAAGGGTTGGGCAGAAATTATATTTTATTTTAACTCCCTCCCTTGTATTTTCCCAAGGAAACACTCCTTAATAAAGAGTAGAAAACAAATATTTAGATTTTTCTAATTTAGATGGATTTAGATTTCTAAAACCTGAGCTGAGTGTGTGAAGTTTTGCAGGTTGGTTTTTGGGTTTGGTTTGGTTTGGTTTTTTTTGGGGGTGGTGTGTTTTTTCCTTACTTCAAAGTAGTTTAGAGGCATTAGATGCAAATCAAAGTCTTGCGTGCCCCTTAGTGAACCAGACATGCCTGGCTACACTTGCAGCTGTGCAGCCTTATACTGTATTTCTGGAAATTAAGTCCTTTTTTGTTTCTCCCTTATTTAATGAAGGGTCAAAATCCAACTTGTGCTGGCACATCAAATGGCTTTTGGAATACATGGCACACAGCTCTCTGAATATATGATTTATATTGTTTAGTGAAATCAGTTTCACAATGCAACTCTTGCTTGTCTGGCGGAGTTCTGTGCTGATAAGGGCTGGAATAACTCCTGTGCTGTTTAAGGTTTTCACTGAAAATAGATTAAAACAGCTTCCCTGTTAGAAACTTGCTCTCTGTTTTGAGGTGTACTGGTATCCTGGCTTTTGTTTTTGCTATAGTGCTGCACAGTGCCGTGCTGCACTATGCGACGAGCGCAAATTCAACCACAGGGAAGTCCCAGTCCTAATGTGGAGGTGAGTGACGTGATCTTCCATCTTAGTCCTTAGCTGAGGCTGGCTGAGAAGGCTCACAGTAGGCAACAGCAGGGCAAGTGTGAAGTGGGGTAAGGCTGCCTAGGAAGGGGAAGTGTGAGGGACCTGGACAGGCTGGAG